TAAACTGAAGATTCATTCTAAAGGGATTTAGTTACAGTACAGCGTGATTAACATGGGTCACACATACCCAAATATCCACTTTCTAAACAGACGTTTCCAAAACATTTATATTGTGTCCTTCAGATTAAGACGATATTTTCCCCACAACCCCTTTCCCTCTGTTTCATTTTCTTTGCCAACTTCCTTGTCACTGTTCTGTTTTGCAGACCTTTCATTAATGATTATCCAGTACTTAGCTAACTTGATTGATAATCAAAGTCAACATGAATGTCACATTTATTAAAAAGTATCGTCTTGTAATGCACTTTACCACTTTTACTGTGTGTTTAGCAAAACCTTGGCAACAGAGCGCAACAAAACTGTGAAAAGAAACTATTATCTAAGGAGTACATTTAGTTTAACCATTACCTGATGTTGTGGAAGGAAGGCGGATGGAAAGTAATTGATCATACTGAGAGTCAGGTGGGATTTGGAAGGTACTGTGATCTGAATAAAAGAGAGCAGGTGAAGTAGAAGTTTCAACAAACTTGTCACTGAGCAACACAAAGAGGCACATAGAAACAAAACGACAAATGACATAGCCGTAGTCGTCATGCACAAAAAAGAATGTGTTTACGTCATAAATTGATGCTGGGATAGGCAGACTTTTCTTGACGTCAAGAGGCAACATTTCCAAAGAAAGCTCTCAGCGTATTGTAATTCTATTGATATTGCAGTATTTTGCATCCATTCCTACCATTAACAAGAAAAGATATATACAGTAAACTGTACGTCATTCAGATGATTTTGAATAGGGTTATAAAGCCACAATTAAATAAGAACTACCTTTCTGTTTTGTTTGAAATGTGTGGGCCTTCAGAGCCTTTTCAAATGATAATCATTTTTTAGAGGTTTTAGCTAGCTTCTTTCATGTTGGACTGAAAATGTTGCTAATTGTTAAGCCTTCTGCTAATTGCAGCTGTAAGCTAATGTGAGCTAGATGTGAAATGCAGCCACAAGCTGCTGGGTGCTAGCCGCAGTTAAGTATTTTGCTACGGTTAGCAATAGGCTAAACATTTAACAATATTTCTCTCTATCTCGAAGTGCAAGAGAAAATTGTCAGACTTTCTTTTGGATAAGTCTGTAAATTTTTAGGTTGCTAAAAGAGTTTGTGCCGTTGGATCATGCTATCAATATCTAAAGGGCCACACACATGCAACTGCATTTATTGAACAGCCAAAAGAAACACCCTTTTTCATCACCAGAGAGAAGAAACTAGTGAAGGCCTGAAAACAAGGCAAATCTATGTTTCCATTCAGACCACTGAAATTACAATATGCTGCAAGGTTATAATTTTATTTTTGTCAAACGACCCAAAAAAAACATACGGCCTGTTAGGGATTAATTTGGTCTTACTCCTAGGAGTCTAACCTTTTCTGTGTGTTGACGTTTACGACCAACCCTAAGTCTGTTATCTGTCTTAAGGAATGGGAAGTCTCAGCTATTGTTGACATTACCAGTTTTATGACCGGTCAACTCTCGGTCACAGAGCCTGATAAGTGATTCAGTGTCTCCAGGTTTTAACGCCCCAATATGCTCATTAACTCTCTGTAAACTAGTTAAAAGGTCTATCGAGAGATAGGCTGGTCAGATTTGACATGGCAACCCACCAGTGCATTCAGAACCTTTGACTGTGTGACTTGTGATGTGAATTTCTCCGGCCAATGCTTGTATTAAAGATCCGTGTTTGACATCAAAGCTCCAACTCTCCTCGTGTCTCTCTGAGTCCTAACTCTCCATTGCTGCAGAAGTTTCCCTTACACTGCCTATCCCAGCTTTACTATTGTCCCATAGTCCAAAAGATGTAGCTTGGCCACTCACTGATGTCATGCTGCCATGAAGGACTCCTAGGGCGTGTTGAGATGTGGCCCATGGGGAGGCTTTCCCTCCCCCTCCAGCTCTCCTCCTGCCAACCCCCCCGCGGCACCCTCCTTAAAGCATCATCACTGCTGATGTGACCAGTGGAGTAATGTCCATCTGCACCCTCACCCCGGGCGTAGGGGTTAGTGTGGAGGGGGGTTTTGCTGGAAGACCTATACAACAAATGTGTGACGATAAAGAAAAAACATTGACGTCACACTGTTTGTGTTTATAACACTTAAGAGCACTGAGGTTATCAGTTCAAGGAAGGAACTGGAATTTCAAGTGATGATTATAATCAGTGTCATAGATATGCTTAATATTGAGCGTTTTTTAAGGAGGTGATATAATATCCTACAAGGAAGTGCAGGATAAGGTTTCTGGGTAGAGACCAACACCAATGTATTTGTCTCTTAAAGTTTACCGTAATGTTTAACAGAAGAGAATTATATACCTATACATATGCTGCTTGATCCTTGAAGATATCCTGTTCATTCTTTTATAGTACATGACATGCCCTTTGAGTGCAAACAGCACCCACTAAAATACACGCTTGGTATGTAAAAGAGTAAAACACATTTTTCAGAATAAATAGTTCACTGATGCAAATTTGAAGACACATTTTATCATATTGCAACAAACCTTCTATCAATTTCCAGAGTCTCGCTGTCATGGTAGGCAGGGTTGAATAATCCTCCATTACTGTAACTTGTCATGAGATCCTTCAAATTGATCCTTTCGCTCTTCTGTGAAGACAACAGTGATACTTTAGCTCACCCTGAAGCAGTCGCTCTATTGATATGTTGATGTTTGTTCAGTCCCGTCCCTAGTGCATTTTAAAAACTTGATCTTAAGATGACTATGATAGTGTGCAAAGTTATCATGAGGAAGATAAGAGAATAGTCCTTCATTGAGTGTTGTATTGAAGCTTCCTATGCCAGCTTCACAGTAAACAAGTAGCATAACACCAAGTGCCTTTCTGTGCACAGAGTGACAGCTATATTGTCGGGGGGGGGGGGGGGGGNGGAGAATGTGTTATTTAATCCCCTGGTCCCATCATCATCGGGTCATCATTAATTCAAACATTAGGTTTGGTTTCCATCACATGGAAAGTATATGGTTCTACAGCCACTGAAGGACGGCAGACCAGGAAGATCTGAATTAAAACTGCGGTGTGATACATCAATAATGGAAATAGGAAAGAAAAAATCTCATCTAGCAGGACTACAAATAGTGTATGAGTTAAAGTAGTTTATCATAGATTATACTATGCTGTCCAGATAATTAAATAAAATCTTGATAAACTACTTTTTCTCACTGCTTACCTTGTTGTGGTGATGTTGGAAAATAATACAATCGAAAAGTCCGAACAAAATGCTGGAGGGTTGCAGAAATAAATGTCTTCTAGTTTTTCTGCTGTCCGTGTTGACCAAGCGTGAGGAGTGAATCAGCCTGAGCACCACTGTCCGTGAGATAAAACCAAGCACTGTCTAGGTACCAGGAAGCGCTGAGCTCATAAAGGTAAAAGTCCACTGCTTCTGAGTGGGTTAAGTAAATCCCATGTGGACACTTTGTGATGTGACAAAAATAATTAAACCCCCTAAGGTTAAAATGTAATTGCCATTCTTATTAGGACATGCAGTGTATGTCCAAGAGTCCATAGTGTATCTGCTGTAGTTCCCATGTGGTGGTAAAAAGATAGTAAAGAAAAATGAATATAGAGACAGAAAAGAAACCTGCCAACAACTTAAATTTCCTTTAGAAGGAAGTGCCCATGCAAAATGGATGTTATTACCGTTGCCCATGCACTCACTAACTAAAAGGAGAATTCCTTCCCCTCCCGTAAACATTAAACAACATGCACTTCAAGTCTCCTTAGGCAGCATAACTTTGCCAGATATATCATGCATTGTTGCTCACTGTTATAAGATCTTGATTTTTCAAAGTATAATTATGTAAAATGTCTGCAATAAAATGTTCTATATATTATTGATTTGTTTACTTGCATTATCCCGAATACTTCTGACATAGTTCAAACTTAGTTGGGAACGGAGTTTAGTCATGGGATAGTATCAAAAGGTGGTATTTACTTGCATTTTGAGAAATGTGCGATGCAGTTTTTTGAGGTTTGACTTTGACCCATCTAGCAGTTAAACTTTCATTGTGCTGCATCAGTTTGAACCATTATTATTTTAAATGTATCTTTCAGGGTGTCCCAACTAACAGCATTACTAAAACGCTCAGTACCCTTTAATAACTTCATACAAGTTAATTCATTTTCCTCTTTTATAAATAACATACATTTACATATAGATGAGGGATTGAAACTATTAACAAAGATTCCATTTAATGTAAATATATATATATATACATATATATATATATATTTAAACCAGTAATAAAAACACTGAATGAAACAGGAACATATACAATAACATGCCATTTAAATACAATACATTTACAGTCAGTAGTGGATGTCTCTAAGTACTTTTTCTCAAGTGCAATTTTGAGGTATGTATACTTTAATTGAGTATTTCCGTTTTCTGCTACTTTATACTTGCACTCAAAGGGAAATATTGTACTTTTTACTACATTACATTCATTTGAAAGTTGTAGTTAAGTAAAATGTTTGTACAATATAATGATATATGAAAAAGTAAATTATTGTGAGTATATAAGTATAGTAGCCTATACTGTATTGTGTATACACACACACACACACACACACACACACACACACACACACACACACACACACACACACACACACACACACACATTTATAGAGTAGCACAAAACTCAGAATATCCTAAATATGTTCTGCATTGACAAATTACAACATTGGAAAACATATTATGTATATTTGTTAGTGATAAAAAAAACAGGTTAATAATCAGTAATAATAATAACATTTTAAAAGAGCCATTCTGCACAATGAGTAGGCCTACTACTCATAATACGTCTATACTTCTACTGTAACATTTTGACCTCAGGACTTTTACTTGTAATGGAGTATTTAAAACCATAATATTTCTACGTTTACTCAAGTAAAGTATCTGAGTACTTTTTGCCCCACTGATTCCAGTGAGTGCGCTCCGGGCTGCTCCTGTATCCACATCCAGGAAGTGGTCTCTGGGAAGTCTGACAGCGGAGTCAACTCCAACTCCCAGTTGACTAAGTCTGCTCGGTTAATTGTTAGCTAATATTATCCAACAAATAGCTATTGTTATTCGGAGAAGGAAACAATGGAGGTCGACTCAGGTAAACAGGAAGTTAATGCTATACTTGTATCTGCAGCTATCCCTACTGATAAGTGAGCTGGGTCTATTAAAACATACCGCAGCATTAGCTACAAAGCTAGTAACGCTAGCCTCAAACTTAGGTCAAAGAATCGCTAACAACAGGCTAACACCTATGACAGGCTAGCTGATGTATTGTTAAAGGGTTTTTGGAATAAATTATGGACTTTTCAAGTATTGTTTGGTTTCGTCTGACTCTCTTTACCAAAACTACGTTGTTTGCATTGTATTGCTGAGTCTGCTTCTTGGGTAGGCATTCTCTGAAGCTGGATAAGCAGAACAAGGGAGGAAAATACCTAACTCCAGTGTTAGTTGCTGGAGAAAATGCAACACCTTGTCTCAATATTAATGTTTTCACTTATAAACAGGCATAAGCTACAATCTTGTACTGAATAAAACATATTGATTTGGTTTTATAGATACCCTGCATGTCATTTCTAACATTTGGAGATTTCTTATTTTCTTACGAAATTATAACATCCTCATGTGATTTGATAGAAGTAGTAGTAGTTTTTCACAGCATTGATTACACTGACACATAACCCAGGTAAATTCGATCCCACTGAAGTTTATATGGATACAATATAACATTGTAAGAGAATAAAAATAAAGAATCCACAAACTACCTCCTCAACAACATATCCATGTAACATAATGTTTGTATTAATAACTATTGTCATCGAGAAATGTACTTATGGCAGGTTCAAGTATCATTAAAGGCATGGGATTACCCATTGCTGTTGACATGGATAGTTCATTATTGTGACGAATGGGACTATCCTGATTTTGAGCAATATTAGTAACACTGCTGCTTTATCAATGGATTTATAATGCCCACAAATATGTTTTGCAGCATTGTTTTTTTCTCTTGGAGCAATCAGCATCAGTCACTAAATGATTTTAATTCAATCCAGTGATGAAAGAATATTTATTTTCAAAATCTTGCAGCCTTATATCATAACCATTATCCAAAGTAATAACTCTGCAATCATATTATGTCCACCTTTCCAAGTGTTCTACACTGATCGTAGTGGAAGGGTCAGCAGTAACCCACTGTTGGACCAGCTCCCCAGCTACCAGTCCCTGCTGTACCGCAGGAAGTCGTCCACGGCTGGCACCAAGCGAAGGAGCAGCTCCCGAGGGCGCATCGGCTCCTCTGGCAGTGGGAAATGGGGCGTGGGCACCATCAGCAGGCGTGAGGAGAAACAGAAGAGTCAGACGGAGGAGAGACCCATCAGGGAACTCCCCAGGACCATGGCCGAGAAACGGAGAGACAAGTAGGAGAAATATCACTCTACACTGTCTCTACACGCTGTTTTGAAAGTGTTTACATTCTTATTTTACTGGCTATGTTTAAAGGGTATTATGTAGCAACAATGTGTTTCACTCTTAGCACACAGCGCTTGGAGGAAGATCGAGAGCTCAGCAGTTTGAAACAGTTGGAGCACAGCACCCGCCGGCATCTGAGGAGGCTGAGGGACGATGTTCACCAGTGGCTGGGCTCCCTGAAGCTCTGGAGGGGCGACATCCACCTCATAGAGGGTGAGGCATGAAATATGAGCTCATATTACCTTATATTTCATCAAGCTGACACTTTTATCCAAAGCTACTTACATTAGTGCAACTAAGAAGATACAAATTCAGAACATGCAGGATCTGCATATTTCATAAAGTTCATTCTTACATACAGATTTAAAAGCCATATTGTAATAACAAAGGATAAAACCAGCTTCTTTCCGACCAAAGCTTAAGAAAGCTCTGGGTGACTATCCTAATAGATGTTCTGGTGAATCTGATCCAAACTGATTTAAATCAACTCTGTTTTGCATGTGTGTCAAACTTAATGACAGACTTTTAAAGATGAATTCTAACACAAGAGGATGATTTAAAACCAACACAGCTGACAGCACCTTCCAAATACTCAGGGCAATATTATGTTTTAGAAACAAAATAAAATTGAAAACTAAAAACATCCTTTTGGCAGCTCTCAGATGAATTGTCCTTTGACTTTTATTAATTTCCTCTCATGATGGCCAACATGTTAACATACTATTGCACACAGAAAATGGACCAATTTTGTTTTGATAATTGAATCCTCTCCACTTGTTCTCCCAGGGATGTTCGGCACAGGGATCCTGTCGTACTTCTCCTTCCTGCGCTTCCTGGTCATGCTCAACTTGATCATCTTTGTGCTCATGTTCAGCTTCGTCATGTTACCCATCATCATAGCTCCTAACGTTTCGGGGAATATCACCTACAACTTGAATTTAGGTGAGAGGACACTTTCAACGTTTAGATTAAAACAAGGCAGGCATTAGTGTTATACTTTCCTGTTTTTTGCTACAGGAAGTGAGTGCAGTGTGTATCCCAGCAGCGCTCGGCGAGGGCTGGTCATCTTTCATGAGCACATTACAGATCTGCTGTCTGGAGGAGTAAGTCATTACACTTCACATGTACAAGTCCCCCGGAAGAAAAAGGGATGTGTTGTTTTCTCACCTTTCTTTTGTGCTTTATCAACAGGGCTTTCTGGAACAGACTTATCTTTTCTACGGCTACTACAAAGCGGACAAAATCCACTTTTCTAATTCCACTTACAATTTGCCGCTGGCCTACCTGTTGGTCACCATAGCCTACCTGTTCTTCAGTCTCATCTGGATTGTTAAAAGGTACTGAAAATTAAATAAATAAACATGTGGAGTTAGTTTGAGTCTCTGGAAGTGATGTTCACTTTGGATTACTTTTTTTCAAGGTCTGCCACAGGATTTAAACGTAACCTGATTCAGGATGAGGATCGTTTCCAGAGTTTCTGCAACAAGATTTTCGCCGGCTGGGACTTCTGCATCACCAACGAGAACGCAGTGCGGCTCAAGAGGAGCAGTCTGCTCTACGAGCTCAGGGTGATTCATCCAACTGTTCATCATTTTAGTTGAAGTTGTTTTATTATTGTGCAGCTGGCCGGCTTTGTTGTGATTGGTCAACCGCTTATAGATCTCCCGCCCCTTAGCCTATCACATACAATTTGTTGGAGCGCTAGCAAATAAAGGTGTGAGTGTTACATAGTGAAGTTACTATGTTACAGAAGTAAACAAAGGAGTCCAATGGAGGCGTTTCAGGCAGGGGCTGAGTGTGTGGGAGAGAAACTCCCTCTGGAGGGGACACAGGGATTTTAGCTTTTACAGTCCATTTACATGCACAATAACCTACAATATATACCACACTACAGGAAAGGGAAAAATGCAAAATAACAAACATAATCGGACCCCTTTAAACATGAACTGAGACATAACATAAGGGCATCGGCAGTGGTGTAGTGGGGATTTTTGTACTGGGGGGACGCTATTTTAATTGGCTCCAAACAATGCCACACAAGTGCGTGCGCACGCACGCAGTGCACTCACAAAACGGGCAGACAGGTCCACAGAAATTACCGGTATGCTTAATCCTACTTTAGTTACTGTACTGCGAAAAGCAGACGGCGCTGCGCTCAACACACACACAGACTCAAAACCATGGACACACTGGCACATAAATTACATAAACAATTTATAGGCCTAAGTTACATAAGCTACAGTATTGCAGCTAAGCATCTCTCTCTCTCAATCTCTCTCTCAATCTCTCTCTCTCTCTCTCTCTCTCTCTCTCTCTCTCTAACTCATAACAAACAAACAAAATCCCCAAAGTTGTCCTGAAATGTACTTATTAAATAAACGAAACTAATAATATAGCCTACTTATGCAAACAACATTGAATCTGGACTCGAAATTATTCTGATTAGGCTCTTCTGATGATGTACTAGTAGCAGCTTCACTTGTAGCTTCGGTGCTGCTAGCCTCTTTCTTCTTGTGAATGATATTCTTTTTTAGAAAGAAGTCAAGTAAAAAAAGTTTGCCTGCCATTATAGAGCTTTTTCGTTAGCGTTCTTGAGGGAAATAGCTGCCGCAAAATCGGGCTCGCCGTGGGTGTGTCAGTGACACACCCCCAGCTCGCCGCGGGGTCACAAGCGTGATGACGAATCATATATTTTTTAAGGAAATCGTTTTTAGTTTTTATTATAATTACTGTGAAATGTATTATGTTTTTGTCATTATTACAACAAATGCACACTTGCAACTGATAACACTGGCAATGATTTTATATTTATTAGACTATTGAAAAAAAGATCATGCTCCAAATAAGTGGGGGTACGGCGTCCAGAAAAACTTAAGAGACCACTGCAGCATTATCAGTTTCTCTGGTTGTACTATTTATAGGTATGTGTTTGAGTAAAATGAATGTTTTTTTTATTTTATTCTATAAACTACTGACAAGTATAACTAAGATATCTGACTCTTCAGGATGTCTTATCTTCTAGTGCCTTTCACCAAATTGATATTCAACTTTGGATGGATGCTGCTGCAGACACTTTTAGTTTATAACATAGTGTATTTAGTTTGATTAATACATTGTTGCAAATGTTTATTCTATCTATCCGCTGAATGTTTGCCAGCCTTTAAAATGTCTTATTCTGTTCTATCCTCAGACAGATTTGGAGGAGGAGAGGATCAAACAGAAAATAGCAGATCGAACCCGCAAACAGAGGTGCCGGATTTACCTCATCCGCCTCATCCTCAACCTTTTCGTCATCGGTGTGCTGATGGGTTGCTTCTACAGCATTTACCTAGCCACCATCTTCTCCCAGGAAGTCCAGATTGATAATAAAAAGGTAACGGAATCCGACCACCACTTCAAACATTTGTTATCCTCCTGTCAAAATGTCTGCATGTTGCTACTTAACCAACTGTTTTCTCTTTTCTCCTTGTTATCTAAAGCATTTTGTAAAAGCTAAGCTCTTTCTTTCAAATTTGCGAGAAAAAGTTGATGACATTTAAATAAAATCTTTGATCTGACATCATTCTCTGGCCTTGGTTGCAGGATAATTTCATCGTGGATCTCATCTATGAGTATCTCCCCTCAATTGTCATCACCTTGGCTAACTTCATCACCCCCCTCCTCTTCTCGGCTATAATCAATTACGAGGACTACTCGCCTGCCTTCGAGATCCGCTTCACTCTCATGAGGTACTGCAGACTTCCATTCATCTACTTTCTCATTTTTTCTCTTGATGGAGATGTTTGCCTGAAAAATAATTTTATAAGGAGACAAACACTATATTAAAGTGGCATATTTGCCTTTAAAAGGTGATGCAAAGATTCAATGCTTAGAGTAATGAGAGGATTGTGTTCAACTTGGGGGAAAATTAAACACTTTGGTGATTTGGAAAATAGTTTGTTCACCTCCTGAGTGTGTGTGTGACGTCTCCTTTTCAAACTGACTCATTGCGATGCATTTAGGAAGAATTTGTAGCTGTGTGGACATGTTTCTATTGTGAAACACTTACTCAGCTACGTTCCGTCATTCTTTCATTGTCCTTTCTCCCCAGGTGTGTCTTCATGCGGTTGACCAGCATCGGGGTTCTGCTCTTCTCTCTCTGGTCTCAGATCACTAAATGTGAAAATGAGCCCTGCCTCTGTGGCTATAACCACGTGCTTTACTCTGTGAGTCATTTCCCTTCATCCCAACACAACGAACAATGACTCTTTGGGAAAAAAACACGTTTTTATCTCTATGTCGACATGCAAACCTGTGGATCAAAGTTCTTTTTGCAACTATCAAAGGGGTTTTAAAGCTATTAAGATTCCATTTTAGTTTTAAAATAATTTATATTACTTTACATTTACATAAGCTTTTGATTGCTAAGTGATCACTTTATTTGGTAATTCTTTGGTCAATCATTTAGCTCTGTCCCTTGAGACTTTGCTTGAGAACTTGAGGTTCAAAGCTCCAATTGTACTAAGTTCAGAGGATGGACTTGTACCTAGAGAGGTGCCCTTAAACAAAGGCTCCTGACTGCTACACTGCTCCTCGGGCACTTCATATATATTGTAGCTTCCATCCCTTCCTAATACCAGGATGGGTAAAATCTAAATGTGAGTGGGTGCAGTGATAATGTGTGATGATACAAATTTCATTCTATTTGAATCCTCCATTTCAATTTTTAGTATAAACTCCATTCTTCTGTAACATATGGTGGTTGAAACTGAACTGATACTGGGATGTGTCTCAGAGGATTCCTTCCAATCTTCTTGATTTGTGCCTCTGTTTCTGTCCACAGTGTTGGGAGACCCGCATTGGACAGGAGATGTACAAACTCACCATCTTTGACTTCATCATCATTTTTGCAGTCACCGTCTTTGTGGAGTTTCCCAGAAAGTAAGTCCTCATCAATAAAGACAAAACATATTTTTGTTATTCTTAAATAAAACTGTTATTCTAGTTTTGTTGACACAATACAATACAAAGTGGCTTTATTGGCATGACCACATATTACACATAGCATTGCCAAAGCATTCAACACAAGGCGTTATAAGAGAGCAAAAACAAACACTAAACAAACATGCCAACAATAAATGTGGCACAACAGCAAAACACAAAACAAACTGTACATGCCAACAATAACGTGCAAAAAAAAAAGTGTGTGTGCGTGTGTGGTCACTCACTGCTCCTACCTTGAAGCAGGTAAATAAATATTCTGCGGCCAGACAGCTCTCTTTGAGCTCTCCTAACAGGATTGGAATTTTTTGGATTGTTTGTCATGTGGTGAAATTCAGGATGTTTGTTTTTAAATTTGGAGAAATATTGTGTCCGGATTGGTTGGAGTTTTGTGCATTCTGTCAAACAGTCCAACTCTGTTTTCACGTTGTCTTCTTTGCACAGCTGGCGCAATATATGTGTATTTTATTCTTTGGCCTCCAAATGTCTTGAACACTTTTATGTTGAAGTCATTGTCATCCTTTCTTCTTTAGTAATTTTGAACCCGCTGTCCATGTGTTGCCCTGTGCTACCCAGGCTGATAGTGCAGCACTGTGACTGCGGCCTGGCGAAGTGGTTTGGCCAGCAGGAGTTTTCCATCCCTCAGAACGTGCTGGAGATCGTCTACGGTCAGACCATCTGCTGGATCGGCACATTCTACAGCCCGATGCTGCCTGCCATCTGCACGATGAAGTACTTCTTTATCTTCTATATTAAAAAGGTGATATTTCTTACTTTATTCCATGGATCATATTCAGAAGTTCTAGAAGTTTCCATTGTTTTCTGACATTTCTGATTCCTGTTTGAAGGTGTCTTTGATTAACAACTGCCGTCCAGCCACACGTCCGTTCCGAGCCTCAAGCTCTAACTTCTTCTTCCTGGTAGTGCTGCTGATAGGCCTGGCTCTGGCCTGCCTGCCCGTCTCTTTCAGTGTGGCACAGTAAGTAATGCATTGTTATTGACCAGTGTATCAACTACAGATTTATGATCGCTGCTGCATCGATCATTAATGTCCTCTGCTCTCGTGTTTCACCAACTGTGGGCCCTCTCCACGCCGAGCAGAGGAGAGACAGGGGAAGTGAAGCTAATGTTGTTACACAGAAAACCTTGGTAGTGAACAACAGGTTCTGTGTTTAGTGTGATTTACTGAGCTACACCAAAAAATATTCGGTTAAACCGATTGGTGAATCTGTTTAGCTCTGGAAGTGTAATCCCTGCTGCATTTTGATGTGAAATGAGCAATATGCTGTCTGTGTCTGTGATATTTTAAATACTGTAATATTAGATATGTACGGAGCCCGGGAGGGTTCATAGAGAGAAAAATAAATAAAACGAGGCCACGTTTTATTAATTTGTGCGCACAAGATGTAATTCGTGGCCTCAATTTAAATAAAACGAGGCCACACTTTATTAATTTGTGCGCACGATATACTTTCTCGTGCGAACGAGAAAGTTACCGGTGCGCCAAGTTGCAGACTGTTATGTTTATGTGGGGAAATGGCAGTGCATACATTATTTGAGATATATTTCAAACTCGGACTTCATTTTAGGGACATTTCGGCCAGAGGTGTAGAGGTATTTGTTTAAGCACCGGATTCGCAAAACAGGAGAGTCTGTGAACCAGTCTGCCTTGATCTATGAATTCATGTCTGTGACTCTCACAGTATCTGCTATGTGCGCGCAGAGAGCTGTGTCTTTTAAGCAGCGCCTTCACTGTGTTTATCTTTCGAACAGCTGAATAGAGATCGAGGCTGCTACGTTTTAGTCACACACGCACGCACGCGCGCGCGCGCGCACACACACACACACACACACACACACACACACCGAACTGCCCGATTAGTCCCCCTATTACTCGTTATATGAAGGAGATATCCGGTCACCAGGGTGCATGATGTGTAAATAACCCAATTTGTGTTCTGTGAAACTGAAAAGGATATTACATTGTTTTTGTTACTTTCGTTGCATTTGTATATGTAATTTAGGTTAACTTCCTCTTTTATTTAGATGCTTTTATTTTGAAGGCGAGTTTACGCTTTTGACAGAAAGTTGTTTTTGCGATGGAAACGTGAAATGCTACATGATGTGTGTGTGTGTTTGTGCTCAGCTCCGCTCTGTGTGGGTGTGTGTGTTCGGTGTATGTGTGTGTCCGACACCGGCATTTGTTTTCAAATTACCATGAACAGTAATTTACACACGTCTGGCTAACTCCATATGTGTATTCCCAAGTGAAAGAAGTTTGTTTAACCTAATCTCGATGTAGGCTAGTGCTAAATGCTGTCGGAGTGCACCGGAACGAACGCCACTATCATAAAATCTTCTTAAAAAAAATGCCCACGCACACAGACAGACAGACACACACACACACAAACATACACAAATACGCCCTGGCGGCCGGACATCTTCATAAAACTAATAATATGGCGTAATAATCGGGCAGTTCGATGTGTCTAACCATAAGAAAGTTTCTCGTGCGAACGAGAAAGTAGATCGTGCGCACAAATTAATAAAGCGTGGACTCGTTTTATTTAAATTGAGGCCACGAATTACATCTTGCGCGCACAAATTAATAAAACGTGGCCTCGTTTTATTTATTTTTCTCTCTATGAACCCTCCAGGGCTCCTTAGATATGTGACTTTACCAGGTTATAATGGCTGCATTACAGTAAAGTGAGGTCGTTTTCTGAACTTTACGGACTGTTCTAGCTGTTCAATTATTTGCTTTTACCCATTATATTCATGTTACTAATGAATATTTATTATAATCTAAATTTTTTTTGAAAGAACGAATAGTCATCCCTACAATACCGTTGCATTATCGATATTGGGGTATCCGATCAGAAATATACTAATATTAGATTTTCTCCGTATTGCACAGCCGTCGTTTAAAAAATATCCTTTTACATTGCTTTTCATGGTAATTTAGGCCACTGATGATTAAGCATTGAAAGTGGCATTTCTTGTTTTTTCTAAGTGTCTGATTGACTCTTTTTTTTTTAATGTGTTATTACATTTAAGAGCACACTTTCAGTCTGTTTCATTATATATCATGTCTATACTTCTCTCTTGTATACTTGTGCATTTAAATGTGAAACATACATGTTGACATGATATATTGTCGTTAATCTCTTCTGCATTTTACTGACCTAAAGAATGCTAGCACAGCTCATTGCTGCCTCCATTTTGTTTGGCATACATCCTCATTCACCCTTCCTTTGTTGCACAGAATAAACTCTTCCCAGGCCTGTGGACCATTCGTTAATTACACCACCTCCTGGGAGGTGCTGCCAAATACAGTATCCGAGCTACCCCATGGAATCAAAACCCTCCTCTTCGCTCTCTCATCAGAGGCCTTCGCTGTCTCCTTCTTTGTTGTCACATGGTACGTGTTTCCATCAGCATTTGAACAGTTGTAACAAGTGTTCTTTACTCTTTATGGTTGAAGTTTAATAAACTTCCTGTTTTCCCCCAACAGTTTGATCATGTTTTATGTGATTGCACTAGCTGGAGCTCACAAGAGAGTTATTAACCAACTAAGGGAGCAGCTGGTAGTGGTAGGTTTTCTGCAAAATACATTTTATAATTCTATTTCACCATTCTGGTTTATTCTATCTCGCCGTTTGTCATTTGAGTAATAACCATAATTGGACCTACTAACTGTGTCATTTTGTATCCCAGGAGGGCCGTGACAAACGTTTCCTGATCCAAAAGCTGTGCCAGGCCCAGAGGCTCTCGGCTATCAAATCCCCGGGGTCCAAATCCCAGCCCCGCAGCCCCAGCTATCACACCAGCTTCTCCAACAATTTCAATGAAAGTGTGTTCCTGGCACACTCACCTCCTGACTCCTCCACACATGTGTGACGCACTACCTGCTTATACAGACCAAAAAGAACAAGACTGGACGGACTGGATTTGAAAACTGAATTAATATCTTCTATTTTTTATTATGAAAACACTACTTCGGAGCTTCTCTGGACCTGCTTACATTAATGTAGTGTGTTTTTGTGTGTTCTTTCGTTGATAATCTGATTATTATAAAACCCTTAAGAGGATGCAATGTTCAAGTATTTTTAAAACAATATCATTTGTGGTGTTTTTAATCTGATGTATGTACTGTCATTTCTTCCTTCTGAGAAGGACTTGCATTATTATAACCACTGGAGTGTATGCACTTTAAATGTATTAACACTACTGTTTTCTTACTTTTTATAATTTGTGTGTTTACAAAACAGTGTGGGCATCGTCTGTCATCATCTACTGTTTATCATCAATAATGATTGTATATTAATGCAAAAAACGACTACGTTTCAAACTGTAATCATTTTCATTTTACCATTACTGTCACATTTTTCTTATTACATTTTATATATATATATATAGCAACAAAACAAACAAGCAAAAATATATACATTGAAGTACCAAAGGAGCATATATACTATATATTTTTATTTCAAGATACTTATATCTTGTATCTTGAAATATACAAATTAATGGATTAAAGTTAAGTTTACCCAAGGGCTGTGATAAACACTATTCTAAGACAAACATATGTTTTACTTGCATAATTATCGCTGTCATTGGTTTTGAGTAAATCTTGATCCAACAAAAAAGGTCACTCGAAACTGTGAATTAGTTTTATAGCATATTTTGGATGATGGGTGTCAGTGCTATATTACAAAAAATAAGGTTTATGTCTTTGGAATAAGTACTGTTTTTCTTTATTATGAAGCATTTGTATATGACTGTGGTGACTGGAAAATAAATAAATTAAAAGTTATGTGAAATAATCTTCGTGCTCCACTCATAGACTGTATATAAAGGTTCCACTGGCTTTTTTCTTCTGTGCCCTGTACTTTTCTTTCTTTGGCCTGTTATACCACCTCCGGCCAACAGAGGCCGCTGCCCGGGGCGCTGCGCTCGGCCTCTGACAGCAGCTCAGCTGGTACGGAACCGGAGGCAGCGTGCTGTTGCTTGGTTGGTTGGTTCATCGAGAGATCAGTTAGCCGAAAAATGTTGAGAATTACGATCCGGGCAGACGTGGGAGCCATTTGGGTATTATTATGTATCACCTATTCCCAGTTTTTGACAGTTTCCTCTGATGACATAGTGGTGGCATGCGGGGGATTTGTGAAATCCGACGTGGAGATCAATTACTCTCTGATCGAGGTGAGAGTGCAAGCCTTCCGATAGCTAGCTACCTAGCGGCTAGCTAACCGTTAGCTGGTTTATCGTAGTAGGCTAAAGGTTAGGCGGAACCAGAGATGTGTTTGTATGACAGTATGAATGAAATGAACACAACTTCAATCTACTTTTTGTAAAAGTTGTATCTCTGTTGCTTACTAAAATAAATTAAAGGGAACATTTTCATTTTGGCAGCTATGCTAGTCTGCTAATTCGGATGTTTTCTCTACGCAGTTGCGGTTGACTGCAAAACTATGTTAGCATTGATACATTAGCCCTTTTACAGTTTGTGTTACAATTCTTACTCATAAACTTTATAAAAAAAACTGTTTGTCTGTGCACAAGGAGTTGCTTGTCACTATTCCTAATCCCTGCTCATTAACAGGCTCCATTGGATTAGCCATTCGCCTAATTGGTGAAATTAACTTAATCCCAGATATGCTGGTCTGTTTGTGAATGACAGCTGATACAAATGAATTAACCAATTTCCCATTCGAAGTTGTATTTAAGGCATTTATTTGTTAAAATATACTACACTATTTAATGATGTCTTCTTTCATACACAGATTAAACTGTACACCAAACAAGGATCCCTGAAATATCAAACGGACTGTGCTCCAATCAATGGCTACTTTATGATCCCCCTGTATGACAAGGTATGATATTCATTACATTTGAGCATTTTATGTATTTTATTTACCAATGATGATTATAACCTTTACACTTGTTTCTTTCACATAGGGGGACTTTGTTTTAAAGATCGAGCCTCCTCTTGGATGGAGTTTCGGTAAACTCACAGCTCAAAACATATTATTCATGTGTTTGTACTCCAGGAAATGCAAAGACAGATCGGTCTAGATTCTTTGCAATATTTATTTTCTCCTTTCAATTTATTTTTGTCCATTATTAACTTTTCTTCTTGGGTTTTAACTCTCACCAGAGCCCACCAGTGTTGACCTCCATGTGGATGGAGTGAGTGACATTTGTACAAAAGAGGAAGACATCAACTTTGTCTTCACTGGCTTCTCGGTCTCAGGAACGGTGAGCATTTTGAAGGATTTCCTGTGTGTATATCAGAATAGTTTCCTCTTGACTAAGAAAGCTTATCTGCATGAAAATAAAGGTTAACGCCTACAATTCTGAGTTGTATTTAAGAACAATTGAAAAAGTGCTTGGATTTAGCTCCTCACACATCCAACAGTCTGTTTAGTTCTGCATGACTGGCTGCCCTGCTTTTTTTTTGCAATTTGCTAATCTCAATTATTTTTGTAAAGTTTGGAGATCTTTTTACACAAAAAGCAACAATCTGGTGCACTGAGGGTAAAATCAAGAGCCCAGATTTATGAAGTTTTATGTTTGTCAACAATTAAATCATAAACACATTGATTCAGACCCTCTTTCTAAGAGAAGCCTTTGTAAAGGAAAGAGGTGCGCTGGATTAATAATAACACAAGACAAAATGATAGCTTCATTGCACAACGGAATGCGCACACTGATCACTTCATGTCGATTATCTTGTCTCTGTATAATGCTGGAAGTCTTAACGCTAATCGAAATTCGATCAATTGCTAAGCCCACCTTCCTTTCCTAAATATGCACAAAGAAACCACCATAAATAACAAGTTGAAAATCAATTAACCACGTTTTTTTTTTTACTATTATCAGTTGTAGGAATGAATTCAGAGCATAAAGCATCTCTCTCTTCAGGTTCTCAGTAAAGGCCATCCCCTGGGTCCTGCTGGAGTAGAAGTGAAACTCACCCGAGTGGGAACAGAGGAGAAACTCCAGAGCGTCGTCACAAAGCCTGGAGGAAAGTAAGTACTCTCACCTTTTTATGTTTTTTTTGTTTTTATATCACTAAACTGATCCCTCTTACATTGTTTGCCATTTCATTTTGTTTCCTTCCTTACCCAGGTACACCTTTTTAAAAGTACTCCCTGGAAATTATGACATCACGGCTTCCCATCCTTCTTGGACTCTGGAGCAGGTTTGTACACTCACTTCAGATCTCATATGGCCCTATTAACAGCACAGACTGAATTGAACACAAATGTGTCATATGTGATGTCTCCCATGGCATTTTTTAGAAGCTTTTGAATTAATATGTTCTTAATTTACTGGACACAGAAAGTCAAAATGTTGGTCAATGCAGAAGATTTGTAGAGTGATAGGCTAGCTAACTTCCCCATAAGCCTCTAATATTGTAGGATAATATCATTCAGAAGAAGTTAAAGTAGCTTTTTGGAATCAAATATGCTTATTTCAATATTTTTCTTGCGCAACTTGCATCAGTTTGACAGATTTTGGCTATATGAAAAGACAAAAGTCTGCAAAATAAATCGGGCACAAAGTCCTCCTCCTGTCATTGTCCAAAAATAATAGATAAAAAGGATTCCAAAATAACATCATAATGCCTATTTGTAAAAAAAAATCTTGAATTTATGTATTCAGATCTGTACGGTAACAAGCGGATTTGAGGAAGTGTATGAAACCTTTACAAATTCTTGTTGTCTGACTAAAGTTCAGAAAGATCATGGCTATGCTAGCATGTAGCCACTCCATAAATATCAGTAATAACATCATAGGAAATAGACAAATACTGTGCTAAAACGCCACTGGGTACCAAAGTAGGGCCCTTCCCAGTGAAGAACACATCAGCTCTCTTTAGTTCTGTATGTAATACTTCATTAATCACCTTTTGCTCAGCGGATTAGGTTCCCTGTCAGTGCAGCAGGTTTATAGCTAATGACGCACACGCACAGCAGTAGTCGCCATTATTCAGACCCTTACTGTAACTCTCATGCTGATTTTTTTTATTTGAACAGAGTGCCACCTCAGTGGTGGTCTCCAATGCCAACGCCCCCGCTGCCGAGAATCTGGTGGTTGGAGGCTACGACGTCTCGGGGGAGGTCCGCAGTGATGGCGAGCCCATGAAAGAGGTCACGTTCCTCCTGTACTCGGCCACAGTCAAGAAAGAGGTAAACCATTTCACATTTTTAAACAGTGAGCAGTTGTGACTCTGGAATGTTATGGAAGTTTTGGTTGGATTTAAAACGGCACAACGAGGTAAGATTGCATCATATCTATCCTTTTGATTTCAGGACGTCGGCGGCTGTAACACATCTCCAGTGGAGGGGGCAGATCCTGGGGACAGCTCGCTGCTCTACCTGTGCAGCGCTCTCTCCAGGGAAGATGGAACCTTCGTCTTCCTCTCGCTGGCCAGCGGCGAGTACACCGTGGTGAGCTTTGTGAAAAAGGCCTAATATGTCTCTAATTAATTTCACTTCGTTTTTTTAATTACTACAATTGTTGGATATAAGTCATTACCTCTGTATCAGGGCTTTTTTTTTTTTAAACTGATGTCCTCCTTAAAATGACTTGTGTAGCATTAAGGTTACACTAATACTAGGAAAAAGCTCTTATCAAGTTCTTATTCTTGCCTCTTTAGAGCTATTCAAAATGTAGACATAGGAGAAGAGCCAGACCTGAATGGCTTTTCGACTAGGCAGCTCAGTGAAAATAACTGTTCTCTTGTTTTACAAGCACTGAAAAAGAAAAAACTTTTGTCCGTATGTCCCCTACACGATTTCACTCCGACAAGTGCTGTTAATACTACAACAAACCTTTTTTGGAGCTACAGTCAGAAATGTTACAGTGCACTTGAACACACCCACTGAGAATTTTGAAGGGCTGTGAAACTACTAAAACTACATAATGGAAAGTTAATCACTTTATTTATAATACATATTATGCAATACATAAAGGGCCACCATAAAGAGTATCATTATTGGGGTTTATTTCAGGACATTGCAAATTTGACCTGCAAACTGTTTGTCAGCAGCTTTAAAATCAAAACTGCTTCACCTGTTAAAAATCTGCTCAAAGATTGTTGGTCAACCCTGTCAGAGACTCTATGACTCAGCCTATCATAACAACGTAGTGAGGCTGTCCAACAACATCATCTCTGACCCAAACCATGTTCTGAACAGTGAATATGAACTGCTACCATCTAATCGGAGATACAGGGTCCCACGTTTCAATAAAGTCAGACTGAAGCACTCCTTCGTGCATCAGTCAATCCTCACAGTAAACACAGAGCTAAATCCCAGATGAAATGCACGCTGAATGCTCTTGAGCATGTTTTCTCTCACTGATTGTGCTGTTATGTTAAATGTTTGTTGTTTGTGTTTTCATGTATTGTGTCTGGAT